CACAGCAGCGGGTTGGGGCTGGGTGGGCTTTGAGATCCAAGCCAAAGCATTCTGTGATTCTATGATTATCTCACAGTGCATGATGCTGTGTGCAATATTGCTGTCCATTTTGGGGCCTCCTGATCGATGAGGTTGTTGAAAGTGTGGGATTAGTCTGAGGAGGAACAGACTATGGAGTGATCTAGTAACTGCCCAGAATTATTGGTAGGGCAGTCACACCCCTCTTGGTAGTGGCAGATGATGTAGCAGGGGCTTCAGGCCAGGCAATAGGATGAACATATTTACTAAGGGTAGCACAGGATGTGAATGGGTTGCCTAGACAGGTTGTGTGGTCTCTGTCCTTGGAGGTTTTCAAGATTCTGCTAGATGAAGCCCCATCTGCCTTGACTGAGTACTGCTACCTGTGCAGCTTCAATGGATGGATGGACAGCATCTCTAGAGGGCTCTTGTGAACATTTTTTGCAACTCAAGAGAACCCACAAAGCCTGAGGCAGCGCGGGGGACCACTCACCCAAAGACTGCCCAGTTCTATTTCAGAGAATCAAATCCTCAGAGGCCCCAGGCTGTGCTGGAGGCCCCAGGACCCCATGGATGTGCTGACAGTAGCAGGGACCACACAGCAGAGCAAACGTGTGCAGTGCAGATCGGGCTTTGGTTATGTAGCTCCACCATTCACACCCTGCATGAGCTGCTGTGTGTGACCCCACCTCAGCTAACTCAACGATTTTCCAGTCTGTTTTTTTTTCTCAGCATGATGTGAACGAGCTGCAAGTCCCTCAGAAAAAATATTGCAAGTCCTACTAATTACCTCTCCCCTTCCTCTTTTACTACCTTCTTACCACAAAGGCAAAAGTCCTTTTATAACACAAGAGCTTATCTTATCAACTTCACTCACCAGCCCTGCAGAGCTGAAAGTTCAGTGCGGCCCAAACACAAGTCCAGCCTGTGCCATAAGTGACATACAGGAAGGCTGGAAGAAAAGAAAACCTTATCTTCCTGTGTCTCTCACCTTGTATGCAATTAGTAGTACTTCAAGCACGTGATTACAACTGAGGACTTCTCTCAGGGAGATCTCGGTACTGCTGAACCTTCTTACTTTTGACTTATCTCAGGCATCCACACTGTTTCAGAGCTAGCACTCCACACTGCTCCCCCCAGGCACACATCTCCACACATCCAGTAAGAGTATTTGTTAGAACTTAGGGGAAACTGTAAGCAAAGAGCTTTAGAAGTGCTAGTGTGGGCTAATGCAACATCAACTAAGGCCAGGTACAGATCAGAAAAGAAAGACCTGCTTTTGTATCCTATGTCAGTGGTGTCCCAGTGAGGGCCCGAGAGTCTGATCCACCATCACTGTTTGGTGTAAAACGCATCTTCCCTGGACTACCATGTCATAATATTTTTTTATTTGTGAAAATTGTTTCTATTTCAGTAACTTAGCACCTAAGTGATTCTGCAGATCAAAGATTATCTACTGAAGCAGGAAACGGAACAAAAACCTGCTGTAAGGTAGCTTGTGTGCAAGGACAGAAAGCAGCAGCGTGAATGACTGCATTACAGGTTTCCTGCACTTGCCTTTGTTTGTTCCCTCTTGGAGTTTACAATGTGTTAAGCATTTAGCAGCTATCTTTTTAAGCTGCTTCTGAGTTTATGCAGCAGTTCACTGATTGCTGAAACTTCCTGCCACTCCCAGCACTGGCAGAAAGGCAAATGAAGGCGAGAGTCACACACACAGTCCGATGCTGGCCAGGCCCTGCTTTCCTGGCTGCCTCCTGCAGCCTCCAGCACTGGGTGCAGGTTTGGATGCCACAGGATAAGAAGGACGTAAAACTATGAGTGTGTGTCCAAAGGAGGGGCTACGAAGATGTAAGGTCTGTAGAGCAAGGCGTGTGAGGAACGGCTGAGGCCCTTGGGTTCAACCCAGAGCAGAGGAGCTGAGGGGAGGCCTGATGGCGGCTGCAGCTCCTCACAGGGAGCAGAAGGGCAGCGCTGAGCTCTGCTCTGTATGACAGCGACAGGGCCTGAGGGAACGGCATGGAGCTGCGTCAGGGGGGAGGCAGTGGGGGTTAGGGACAGGCTCTGCACCAGAGCACGGTGGGCATGGCCCACCCAGAATTTAAGACACATTTGGACAGTAGTCTCAGTTATGCGATCTAAGTTTCGGGTTGTCCCACATCTGTCACCACCCTCTGCGGCATTTCAGGGCCAAAGCAGTGCAAGCTGCATCACTGTGTGTGTGCGTGCACTTTTTTGCTTGTGAGAGTCTCAGATGTGGCTGTGGAATATCTGTGCAAGTCCTTCAGTACCTCCATCTGTAATTCAGCTGAATAGCTCAGGGCTCAGCCTGCAGCTGCACTTTCACAAAGGATTGGCCTAGTTTTCCAAAGGGTCATGGAGAAGGAAACCTCCACATTGTAAAAGATGACTTCATCAGCTATTCAAAACAGAGTGTCATAGAAGGACATTTTAAAAAACAGCAGTCTGTGGTGTCTAAAAACACCAATACTTTTTTTAATCTCAGTGGCATGGACTGTACACAGCACTGCCAGAATTCTGGTTTAGTTTATTCCACCATCAGAAAAAATGGGGCAGTATTGAGGGATAACAGCAATTTTGGAATGTTTCAGCCAATTAGAAATTATTCTGCCATAGGCACCAGGCACGTATGTTCCACCACACGGAGACCCCACTGCCACTCACTGCCCAGTACTCCCTAGGCAGTCCAGCACATGAGCAGGGGGTCCCTTGCAGCAGGAGGAGTGCCCTTCTGGCACTGAGGGCAGGGCTCTCATAAGGAAATCCAGAGAGTAAGCTAGAATCTGACGTCCCGCAGGTAAGGGCCCATCCTCAGGTTACCTGAGAATGCTTCGGTGCCAGGCTTGAGGTACTCGCGAGCCCTAAGGACACAGCCTTGTGCCAATAGCAGGGCATGAGGGGAGTGCCTGTGTTACCCTGTGTGTCGTAGCGACTGCTGTGCGCAGAGGCTCAAAGACAACACAAGTATTTGTTGGCCTTGCTTTCCGAAGGAAAGCTTTCTGCCTAGTCTCCTGCACAGCCTCGTACACACAGCTCCACAGTAGAGCATCCAGCAGCCATAGCTGCAGCAGCAGTGAGATGTGAGCAGACCTCAGGCCGGGCTGCAGGACACAGGCAGAAGCACAGCCCTGCTGCTGAGGCCCACACAGACAGCATCCACCATGCTGTCTGCTGTCATGGAGCCATAGCCCAAACACTCCAGGTTTGGGCTGCATTACAAGGAAGCCACATCCTCACCACCCTCCTGCCACGGTGTTATATGCCACAAGCAATGTGCTACACCCCTGCCAGCACCACGCTGCTGGAACACAGGCACCTCTCCTCCTGTAAACAAGTCCTTATAAGCTGTGAAGTTACTCAATATAACAGATGGTTCAGCCCTCCCATGCTGACAACATGCAGCTGCGCTTTCTTTGCACTGATGCTACTAAGTTACCAGACCTTTTCAGGGAAATAAATGGAAATTGAAGTTTTTTCAAAGAGCAGTGATGTTCTAGGTAAACAAATTATTTTCATGTAAAAGTAAGTCTCCCTTTTAGCAATAACTACTGCTAAGATAAACCAAAGGAAGTTTTCCCTTGTGGATGAACCCAGGCTGAACAAGGCCTCACACAAGTGAAGGTCTCCTCTGCCACAAGGGAGGCAAGTATTTAGACTCATATCACATTTCTGAACTAACTGTACCTCAATGGTACTTATGGCAGAAGCTTTAGGTTTCTGTACCTGAAAACACACAGCAGTTAGCGCTGAGTACCTTAAGGCAACATTCCTCATCTAGGAGTATTTTCAGTTGAAATGTACTCCTATTTCAATTGTAAGCCACTTAAAGCCCTTCCTCTCCACTGTGGCATTAACACCGCATGTTGAACAGAAGAAAACAGCCCAGACTTTTGCATTAAAATACAAACTTTACAAGCACATAGTAAGTGTAGGCTCTTATATTTCAGTTTAAGACTATATAATTTTATAGAGTACCAAAATAAGCAAAGGATCAGCACTCCATACAAAGTGTTAGGTTCTTAGGAGGAAGGTAGAAGGGAGATGGAATTTAATTACACTAAGATTTTCTTTGCAAGTCTGAAGAAAATTCCATTTCAGCAAAAACAGTTGGGTTTATACTTCTCGTATTTCTAGTTCATTAAATAATGTTTCTTTAAAGACAACTTACATTGTTCTTGTTCAAAGTAAAGGGATGATTTAAAGCAGTATTAACAAGGAGGTGGTGCTGTTAATGTTTAATGTCAATATGCAATGTCATCTGCTATAAAGGCTAGAAGAGCAACACAACTTTATCATTACTTTCAAGGACTATTAGAAATTGACTAACAATTGAGGAAAGTTTCAAGCACACTACACTGCCTCTAGGTCTATGCTGCTGCTGGTAAGCCTCTGCAGTCTGTACACTGCTAACAGGAACTCGGCACACAAATCCCAACTCCCAGCTGCTGGCAGCAATGTTTTCACATGTACACTGTCAGGCCAACTTAGAACAGTTATGTTTCTTCCCTGACTCATGGCATTAAGATGCAGTAAGTTATTAGCTAACATTATCACTACAGTTTTACAAAAGCATAGGTCTGAACAAAACAGCAGTTAAAGCGCTCTGTTTGACTCCAGGATTAATTCTGTGACAACTCGCCTTCTCTATTCCCTGCGGTTTCCTCCTCTACTCCTTCCCTAGTTTCTATTTTACAATAAATAGATTAAGTGGATTTACATGATGCAAGTGAAACTCAGAAGTCTTCTGCCCTACACATGTAACCGTTAAGCTGTGAGATTATACACGTGATACACCTCTAACAGAGCAACCACTGGTTTAGATTATTAAAGAGAAACTTTTTTAAAGAAACACAAGTATTTCAGCATGTACAAAGTAATGAGTTCAGAACTGTCCAACATTGTCACTTCCGTACATTCTCTTCCTCTTTATAGCCTTAAAGGGATTTAGACCTTGATGGCAACAATCCCAAAACAAGAGTAAAATGAATTTATTTTATTGCAAACAAACGTCTAGAGTTAAATTTCTCCACCCACTTTCTTTAAAGAGAAAAGGAATCAGCAGGCTAAGGAGATACACCCATTTGAGAATTGACATGATTAAAAATTAGATATAAAATGGGTGACTCACAGTTTCATTAGCTTACAAAATGGTGGAGTAACTACTACAAGCACACTAGGTATACAGTATTTTGTGGGGAAGTTATACAGACACACAGCTAACTTCATATAGATCCCATTAGACAACTGGATTTACAACAAGTTTTGTTTAATAAGAAATGGGCAAAGCCAGCTTCTTTTCAGAATCAAAATGCAGAACAAATGGAAAAGAAATTATGGTGGTGTACCTTCACAAGTTTGAGCCTCCACAAGTAACGCAACCAAGTTTTACAACTTTAAGAGCTTCTACATACACTCCACCTTCACTATTTAGCTCCAGGTTTCTTCTTCAGCCCCATCTTATTGAATTCCAAATGTTACAAAAAAGTCCTAGTTTATTGCCAGAAACTTTTACCTCCCCCTTCCCTCCTCCCCACCCAAAAGCATTATAGAGAGGATGGAGTGTAATATGGAGCTTTACATTATATATTCATGAGGGCTACGAAGGAGCCTCCACACGAATCTGGTTGCTCATATTTCGATCGTATTGTGACACGACTCACGACTGTTTCTTAGAAATTGGGGTAAGTGGGGAAAAAGGAGAAAATTCTTTAATAAAAAGACACCAGGTACAAAGCAACGTTTTACTTTTGTTGTGGTAAAAAAAAAAAAGTCACATTTTACAGATAAAATGTAGAACCCTGAAATACTGACACATTCTCTTATCGTGCACAATGCTGAGGTTCTCTTACGAATCACTTTAAAACTGCAATTAAAAATGTACAAAAAAAGAAAAGAAAAAAAATCAACCCACAAAGCTTCTAAAAAAGGAACCCGCAGGCACTTCCTCTTGTGGAATGTTTAAAAAGTTAGCCTACTAAAGAAAACAGTCGACTTCTTGTGAAGGTTTGGGAGAAATATGTATCAGTTCATTTATTTGGGTATTCAATAATATCCTTGGTGATAATGCTGACTCCATGGCTTCTGACCCCAGAATTGCTGCAATAAATGGATAAATAGTTAGTTTAATGTGTTATCACATAACACACTCCTTACAGAAAAAGTTTTTATACAGATATCTAACTTCTCCAGGAACCTGAGATTAAAATCCTCTCAAATAGCAGCAAATTCCAAAACAACTGGACAGTTACATTCTCCTCACAGTAGCATCACGGAGCCAAACACTTCTTGCCATTAAGACCGATAAGCCATAGCCGATACCTGATACATCAAAACAGATTAAGCTTTGCAGAGAAAACTATTCATAATATTAGTTGGCATTAGAAGATGCTGCTATCTGGTGTTGGTTACACATTTATTTCTAAGCATTCTCAAACATCCGACGGTCAAATGAAGAGGAAAAAGTGCGGTTATTACTACTTACACCCTGCTGCCACTGGTTGTAGCCCTGAGATTGGTTTTTGTAGCCACGATTATTCCCCCTTCCTCTGAAGTTCTGCAAGAGGACAACAGTTTTGAGCCACCTCATCCATGCAGACTTCTCAGAAATACAACAATTCTTCTACTGCCACCAAAACATCATGTTATACCCAATCTTTCAAATATCAGTATCAGGTCTGGGTTAAAACAACAACGTAATACCAAACGCCCGTCTCTTTAAGCTGCTTCTTCAAACTTGGCTGTTCAGTGCTGGTGGTTTTACCCCAGACTCAGACTACTATTGCCAATGGTCTGGAAAGCTGGCTAATCCAGTTTTGACTCACCCTATATCCAGCTACTAAACTGCCACTAGGACAACTAAAAATACTAGAGCTTGCCTATTTTTAGTTAGGAAAGACTGTAGTTGCTACAAGGATGTTATCTGATCGGACAAAAGGATATGGGTCATACAACTTAAAATAGAAGAGTTAAGTCACAAAACTTTAAATAAAAGCTACAGTATAAGAGACTCCTTGATATTGGTAGATAAAATACTGCATTTCCTGTTTGTATTAGACAAACCTGTGCCATGTTTATTAGCTTGGGCTCCATCTGCTGGCTCTTCTGTAATCAAATTTACTGTTTTCAAGTACTTTCACTGATACTGTGACAGTTTAAGACTCAGACTGGTATGTCTTTGATAGTTTGACACAAGATGTCACAACAAAGACTCTACAGAGCTATTTTCAGAAAATTCTTTAAATGACTTCACCTTCAACACAGATGCACTCTGACCTTAAAGTCAAACAATGGTTACTGATGTTGTAGGTCAGAGCCCATGGGGGAATGAAACAACTTATTAGCATAGCTGTTCCTATATGGACTTTTGCACACCTTTGCAGTATCAAAAGCAATGCCCAGCTCTAAGTTAAACTCAAACTGTTGGACTATAAACCAGACTTAAGCATGAACTGCATGGGGCAACTCTACAGTCTGTCACAGAAACTCAGACTATGAACTGCTTTACCATGGAATAGAAACCCTAACAATCTTCAGCTTTAGCAGGACTAAGTCTTACTAGGAAACCACCACATCAGTGTTAGCTTTTCTTAGGGCTCTAGGCACGTACTCTTAGCTGGAAAGTTAGATCTTTTGCTATGGAACTAAGTGTACTAAGCTTGCCATTATCCACAGCTAACAAGTCTTTCAACAAGAGAACATTAATCCAGAGTACGGCATATCAACTAGTAACTCCCCCATCAAAAGCATTACCTGGTTGTAGTTTCCCCTGTTGGGCATTCCACCTCTGTTATAGTTTCCTCTGTTTGAGTAGCCACCTCTGCTAGGAAAGACAGGGCCACGAGGATAAGGATAGCCAATGGCACCGCTGCTGCCGCCGCCGCCACCACCTCCTCCACCACCACGCTGTGGCATATTGCCTCCCCTCCTGTTGTATCCACCTCGATTGCCTGGGACTGCAGAGAAAATGTTTGCTTGATTCAAGTAACTACCAGGTCTTAAGTGTTTCTCACATAGAAAAAAATAGCTCGAAATAGAGACTCTTAATGAAGGTGAAAAAACAAGATGCCAACATTCATTGCAAAAGTTCTGATGCAAAGATTTCAACATAGCCTTTTTTCCATGATGACCAAGTGATGTAAGGGTACAAAATACCCTCTTAAAACGGCGTTTGACACAGGGAAGCACTAAATCTACAGTAAGAACTTAAACTGTACCTCAAACTACACAGTGTAATTTTTTGTGATCCTCAGTTGTAACACATCAGAAAATTAGCTTTGCACTAAAGGTCAGGCTATTAAAAACTAACCGGAGCCAAAAATCTACATTACTGTCACATAATGGTTGCAATTCAAGTAGGACAAGCTTCTCTTTTTCTTATTTTTGCAAAGTATCTGTTGTCCCCAAAATTCATACACTTATTTCTAGGCTCACCTCCTCCTCTGAAGTTGCCACGCATGTTGAATCCTCCACGCCCCCTTTGCCCTCTATTAAACTGATTTTTATTGCTCTTCTTGTTTTTCTTTGAGCCAGTGTTCTGCTTCTTTTCTGGCGGAAGAGATTTCTTACTTTCTTCTTTATATTGTTCCAAGAGTTTCTGAGCTTCTTCTTTTTGCAACTCTACATAGATTATTTCATCAAAACATTCTGCTACCTCTGGCAGTGTGAAGTTCCCTATAATTGCAAAAACACTGAGTATTCAGCATCTCCATTCAGCTACAATTCAAGCTGTATTTTTAAATACCTTTCTCTCATTCTTCCTCCCACCCCCAACATTCTCTCAGCATAGGGACAAAATTACGTAATTTGAGCAGTAAAGAAAGGTAAGAGTGACAAAAGAAATAAAAGGGTCTCCATGGAGTTACCAGTACTGTTCCAAACCTTGAAAGCATTCTGCCTATGCTTTTTTTTTTCTTTTATAAGCCTCCACTCACAACACCAGTTTCTGCCAAATATGTCACTTAAATAGGGCACTTTATGCCAAGACAGCTTTGTGCATCTGCATGAAGCATATCAGCATAAATGAGTAGTGTTAAGGACTGCAGCAGAGGGAACACAATATAGTGTTGTCCTACAAGTTACAATAGTCTTCCAGTTTTGTTTAAGTACAGCTGTTTAAGATAACGTAAATTTTTAGATTTCAGGTTTACTTAATCCTTTAAGCAGATATTCAGCATCCTAAAACACAGTATAGGATTATGTTCCATGCCTTTCATTTTGAGAACTGCATGCTCTGGAAGATCTTTTCCCTCCACCTCTGCCTTCTTTTGTGTTCTTTGCTTGTAGTCTTCATCTTTTGGGCAAACAACAACTGCTTTGCGCTGGAAGCCTGCAAACAGGCACATTTTTCTCCTCTGCGCAGCTGCAGACACATTTGTCTGAAAAAAATGCAGTAACTTACTACACGTAGCTGTCATTGTAAGAGTTAAGGAAGTCAACTTATGGTGTATAGACTTCACCTCTACAAGAGCTTGCATTGAAGTTTACAAATAACTGGATATAAAGAAGCTGCATAATGCAAAGTTACGAACGACCGAGCTCATATCAAAGTGTTACACTACTCCTCCCACATCCCAAAGAAGTTCAGAAAAGCATTTGTAGTAGCATCTCAACTTTGCGCATTAAGTCAGCAAGTGAAACAACCGCTATTAAAATATAACTTTAATCCCACTTAATTACTACATTACAGCCTAGAGCAAAATTCCTTAACAAGTTTTTACTGAAGCTTCTACCTGATCCAAAATGAAATTCCGCTTCTTACGAGCTGCAATCTCAATGAATTTTCCAAGACACTGTGGAGCTCGCTGCAACAGTGTGTTCAGTTTCCCAGTGTCTGCCATCTGCCGTTTAAAACCTGCAACCTATAGAAATTTGAGTTAAAGCAGACCCAACCCATACAACTGAGATTTTGCTTTAATGAATTTATCTTCCAGTGGCTTCAAGACCACAAATACAAGCTTCTGATTCAATTTCTTTACTAACAAGGAATTTGTGTGGATTGACACAGCTGAATCTAAGGTATGCTCATTATACTACTGATTCAAAGCTGCTGTACTGAGGACAACAAATGGGTAAACATCAATGACTTATTGATACTTATTACAAAAGAAACTTCAGAATCTGGCTGTGCTGTGCATGACAAGTAGCTCAGTCCGGTAAAATCTTTAACAGTCACAGTCAATCAAATAATGATCATGTGTTTCTTAGATTACTTAGATTGAAGGGAACTCCCTGGCACCCACAGACCTTGGATTTACAGCAAGTCTTCAAACAATCAACTTACCATCATTTTGTCCATAATAGTATTAGTCCCAAGAATGTTGTATTTCCCAGGATTTGCTGCTGCATGTTTAGTTACCCATGTAGTCTTGCCAGCTCCAGGCAATCCAATCATCATCACCACCTATTACAACATGTTCCATATTTGAGATGCTAGCTCAAGATAATATTTAGTAAGCAACTTAGCCTAGCAAACCCAACAGAAATCTAGTATGGAGAGAGTCACACGTTACTCAGTATTAAAGTCTTCAAACAAAAAGGTGAATTTTCTATAACGGCTTAAAAATCCAACGATTCCATTCATCTCCCCTCAACAACTTCTGAGATAACCAGGAATCTTACCTCACAATCTTTCTTTTGCTCAGGTCCCTTTGGTCCTCGAACCCGATCTTCCAGGGGGACCTTCTGGATGAAGGTATACTCTTCAGGTACAGGAAAGTAAGGTTCATCTTTCTGACCGAAGTTGAACTCAACTGCACAGTTATGGCAGAGAACATGTGGAAAGAGCGGGCGCCCATCAAGAACTTCCTTACTAATTTTGAATGCAACACCAAGCTCTTGTCCGTTCTTGGAATATGAGAGCTCCACTTCATCACCATCAAAATTCTGTTTTACAGACAAAGCATTAGTTTGTGTAAAAACATTCACATTGCATTGTTAAGGTGCATTACCCGTTTCACCATATTAACTGCGTTTATTTAGCTTTTATAATATCATTATAAAACAAAGTAATTCCTTACACTGGGAGACAGTCTTTAAATGTCAATGATCATGTTAAGGTGTGATCGTTTTTTTTAAAGCCTTGAAAAACATGAAAAAGGTTGACAGCAGCCACTGCTGATTATACACGCTACTTCTACCTTCTCAATGTATTAAACAACTTGTCTTTCTTCAAGTTTTCCTGGATTTGATCTACTGCTTCTCACATTAAAGCAGCCTGAAAATTAAAGGATGTTTTTCCTCAAGAGAATACTTAAGAGAAAACTTACAGCAAAACATCCAATCACATCATTTTCATCAAACTTCTCACCAAAGTCTTCAGTCTCACAATTGCATGTCTTTATTCCTTTTAGAGAATATCCGTAAGAAAATTCTTCTTCACCTGAAGAAGAAATTTCAACTTATTAAAAATATGTATTTTCTGTTGAGAAATGCAATCATTTTACAATTACTTAAGTGAACTGCTGTTCAGAATATTTCCATTGATGCCAAAACAAGCTATCACCCCCAGAATAGCTACAGCTGTTTCTTGCGTTGAAGAATTCAATACTCTCATTTAAAATTGAACAGCAGCATTTTCCTCACCCTAACCTTAAAAGCTTTATGCTACTGGTTCTAGATTCTTGGTGACAAAATGCTGAAACTCTAGCTAAAGACACGAGTAAGTATTCTTAAACTCTGAAGACCTGTGCATCAGTATACCTGTAACGCAGTTAGTCAGAAAGGCACTTCTGAATTAAGCCTCCAGTAGCACTTACCCCTCCCCATTTTAAAGGGAGTTTAGCAGACATTCAGCCTATGCGACAGCTGAGGATGAAGCTGCAAGGAACAAGCTAACAGCAAGTGTCAAACACAAGAACTCAGATGGAATTTAAGTACTTATAACTAGAAAGTTGCTGGTATCAGAATGTCCATATTCATACACATTTTCCACAGACATATCTCATCAGCAGCTATTAGTTAGGAATACCATAATTTTCTCCCCCTTTATCTACTGAAGTTGTTGTTCCAGCTCCTTTTAGAAAAAAGATTTCTGCCCATCAACCCCAAGAGAATAGTAATTATCTGCAAATTTTTCTTCCTTGAGTAAGCCTTATAATCACAAAACAGAAGTAATAAAAAAGCCATTGCAATTTATGACACTACACATAAATCCTTAAAGACTTCCTTAAAGTTTCAAGGAATGTTTTTCACAACCCACATAGAGAGAATTAATTCTCAAATCACATATTTCTAAAAATCTTGAACAGTTAAGCTTGTCTGTCCCAATAATAAATTCCCACAATGTCCAGTGAATAACTCAAGACCCCTTTCCAAAACACATGGACTACAATCATTGAGTTTCACAGCCACTTTTCTCTAAGCCAGAAGGAAAACTTCAACCACACAGACAATACATAACACAGAATGAAATAAATACTTGAGGTCTTACCAAGCAACATTCCACTTGTGTTCAGTGACCAGCCAACTCGCACCTCATGTATATCAATGTCTTTTGTATACAGGTGTTTAACAGGAATCTTTTCTGTAACCTAGTTTTAAATTATTCATTAAAAGTTATGTTGTGTTTTTTAAGACTCTGACAAGAAAGAATCAACATAACATCCAGAACCTTTATTCTCTGCTTACATCTTTACAAGTCTGAACTATTTTTATTATTTATTTATTTATTTTTGCTTAAATACGAGAGTTAAGCACATCTGTGAAATCACAAACCAGTCACTAAACATTCAAGTCTCTTGACTGATACAGATGCAAGACATCGTATACCTTCAGAGCACTTAATCATAGCACTCTCTGGGTAGTCACAAATATCAACCCCCTTGATAGCATATTAAAATTACAGCCTACAAGGAATATATCCTTATCAATTAGAAGCTCTGCTACAACTTCGGGATTAACAACACATTTCTTTGCCAATAAAGTGTGGTATGAGATGAAAACAGCGTTCTGGACAGAGCTGGGGAAATACTACACTCATCCCTTTCCCAGAGGGAGCAGAGATCCTGGGCAAGTTGCCAACTACCAAACAACATAACCAGATTCAAAAATCTCACCCAAGAGCATTGCAAGCTGAAGGCAACCAGCTCTTCCTCTAATTGCATTTTATAAAACGTCACCAAATTGAAGTGGGAAAAAAAATTACACGGCCGTTAGGCCACCACTTTTCACAAATATTTGAGTCACGTGACCAAGGAAAAGCTTAAAAAGTAACAGGGCAATAAATACAATGTTTCATGTTGTTGTCCTCCCAGAGTTATAGTCACCAAGGAATGGGATCACCACCAACTTAATGTTACCAGTTAGATTTGGAAGTAGTGCAAGAAGTGAACAGAATAAGCACATACCCACATACATCCTAACCAAATAAGGCTTTAATGCCCTTCAAAATAAAAATATTTGGCTTTGTGACTTCTGATTTTCTTCCCTCACAAGTGGAAGGTATCTGTTTCTTGTAAGGCTGATTGCTCTTCTCCATTCCAGCCCTCTAAATTCAAGAGCCCAGCTAAATACTCACACTTCTGTGTAAACAAGGCAAAATTATTCAGGTTGGAAGGGACCTCTGCAGGTCAGCTACCAAACTCCCTCAATATTTTCTTTCTGTCATTATTTTTGGAAGATCTGAACTTCCTGTAATCTTCACAAAGTACACACAAGTGAGCTGCTGACTATTATTTTAATTCTTTATGTTTTGGTGCATTGAAGTGCCATCTAAAATTCTTGGTTCAAAACTACATGAAGTTGTATGTTCATGGCACGTGCAACTTTCTTTTCACATCAAGTTCTTAAAAAAAGAAAGCAGATTCACAAATTAAGACATCTCTCATTGAGAGCCGTTTCTCAGCCTCGTTAAAGAATTCTTTCTTTAAGATGCAAGACTGAAACAAAGCATAAAGAGTAAAATATTTAGCTACCCAAAACAGCCTCCCACAAAAAACTGAAGTCTTACCTTCATCTCAAAGCAGACTTTGCCTTTAGAAACTCCATAGGAAGCTCTCCCCCCAGCCCAAAGGAAAGCAAAGCTTTCCATGGTCAGTGAGGAAGCACTAAACCGGTCTCTTGAGATTTTAAAATGCAGGTCACAGTTATCTGTTGACAAAAACCATTGTGTACTTCAGTTAAGAAAAAAAACAAACAACAACAAAACACACCACCAAAAAACAACAAAACACAACTTTCCAATTTCATGCATTAAAAGTGATTTCAGTTTTCTAAGGTGATTTTAGGACAAATAGCTGCCATTTGGCAAATGCTAACCATCTTTTAGGAAAGGAAGTGAACACATGTCAAAAAACTGAGGACAACACAACTAATAACAAAGATGATTTGCAAGGTGCCATCTTCCACCATTAAGTTCCCAGGCTTTTTTTCCCCCCGATGTGCCTAAACACTCCGCTTCCATCTCACATATCACAACCTTTTTTTGTCAGTTACTCAATGCAGAATATCTGGAATACGCATGATGCTCTTTGAGCTACTTGCTAGATACCTTTCTGCAAAGCCTTACTCCTTGTGTCTGAAAGCAGTTAAATGCAAACACAGGTATTTTTGTTTAAGTACTGCAAGTAGTACCGTCATCTTCAGGAGACATACAGTCCTTTAGCAAGTCCAATTAGATTAAGCCAATAAAATAAAGTCAGTTAAGTGCAGATAAGCACACAGCACGTGATAAGTGAGCTCATTTTGTGTAAAGAAAAACAACAAAAAACAACCCAACCAATCACAATCTCAGCATGAACTCAACTATCATTTTGAGAGACCCCTAGGAACTTTAAATGGAACCTTTGTTACATAGACATCCTTCAGGGCTGCTGCACTGTAAAGTTTCAAATTTATCTTCCAGTAGCTTTAAAAATGACAATTTAAAGTGGTAACATGAGGTGCAGGATATGGCACTTGAATTCCCCAGAGTAAGGAATCCACAGAAGAAACTCTGAACCTATTTAACAGTTACAGGAAAGGTGTAAAATTAGCAACCAGAGTTATCTTCTGCCCTAGCAGAAAGTCTGTATGATGCCCAAGCACACCAAAATGCAGTTGTCCCTGCATTTTATTACTGGCAATTCTCAAACAGGAGATCTTGTTTGCACAAAGCCATCTGCAGCTATAGTTAGGTCTTGAGCATTCCTGTTAATACTTCTAACTGTTGCAGGAAAACCAAACAAAAAAGATCTGAAGAATAAAACAGCGTAGGTTACTTTTAAAGCAACACACAAGAAAAGAATTTCTGGTCAAAATGCTCTTCAGAGACAGGAGTAAAAGAAGCACTTAAGAGCACTAAACCTCTTAGAGGTCTTGATTGTGACAGTCAAAAAAGAGAGCCAAGCTGTTATACAATTCACTCTTTAAAGCTGTGGTTGACTGGGTGCTCCCAACAGCCTGCTGATACTTTCAGTTACAGTTCATCCATAACAGAACTTTCTACTAGATACAATAATCACAAGTAGCAACTAGTCAGTTATTGGGAGAGTTAAGAACTCCCACAAAGATGGCTACTCACCAAGTTAGCAGCTAGAAGATAATGGCACATTCAGCAAAATACGTGGCTGTAAACTAATGCCTCCTTCCATTTCAAAACATTTCTCAGGAAGAGAAAACCTGAAACTACTAGCAAATATGCCAAATGAAGCCAAAACTTAAGGTCTCATTTCACGGCATTTTAAGAATCCAGCAAGTCAGTGCATTACCTGAAGTTTTTAATTCTGCACTAACTTCTCATACTTACCCAAAAGAACAAGTTTTTACCCTGGTCATGGTATACCACAGTAGTACTTACACAAATCACCTCCACACCACCTCCAACTCTCAGAATACATGAATGGGTCATTTATTTTTTCTAGAAGACTTAAGCTGATTGATTGTTAAATTTCTCAGAAAACAGCAGAAGAAACCCCAAACTTGCTGACACATAAATAAGACTAGCATAACTACTATTGGTACTTTAAAGGAGAAGATGATGTGCATCGTTATCAATTTCTCAAGTTGCTTCAAGCATCATCTATACATACTGAACACTCAGTCAATTTTTCCATATGCAACACTAGTATTTCATTTAAAATTTCTTCAGCAAATTATTATGTAAAAATTTATCTGCATATTGTCAATATGAAGGCTCACGTACCCTTTTGTATGCTAAGACTGAAGGAACAAACATCTCTATGCTGCTTGGTAACGTAAGTCACCAAACATTTTACTCCACATTTCTGAAATATGGGGCTCTAAGATTAAAGACAATACTGTATCTTTGCAGACCAAAGGAAAGCACGGGTACTCACAGGTATCGAGACACACCACTGTGTCATCAAAATGTTCATCTTCTTCTTCAACGGGTGGTTGAGGGGACTTGGCCCTAAGGAAAAAAAAAAAAAGCAAAGACTGAAGCCAGGCATTCTCCCAGTGCAAGAGAAAACATTTTTTTTAGAGTAAGCCCATCTTACCTCTCCTCACTGACAAAATGGTGCCCAGCATGGAAAACTTATTTACCTGCTGTACTTATTTTCTTCAATGTATTCAAAATATCCTCGGCCGTGGTCTTCACGTGGTCTCTTGACGCCCCTCTTTTTCTCACCAGGTTTTTGTTCTGTTTTGCCATCTCCTGTAATAAAATCAATGATCTTTAGCACCAAGAAGGAACTCTTCAGTTGGAAATAAAATCTGTTAACAACGCTTTCGACTTCGGAAAGCGCAAGAGCACCTACGGCAAAACAATAGCAGCCCACGGAAGAATCCCGTTTTTCACTATAATAATAATAACATCGTATCAAGTTTTCTCCGGGGACTCAAAACCCATCCGCTAAACCGCCCCGAACCGCGACCACCGAAGCACCGCGAGGCCGAGCGAAAGCCCGGCCCGCAGCCGTGCGCAGCGCCGAGGAGCGGACAAAGCGGCGCGGCGCCGCCCGGCCCGCAC